TTCGAGCGAACGTTGACGAGAAAAGACGTGTCGAACTATAGACTACATTGTGTAATATTTGTATGAAATTGTAAATATAAGTGTATAAAGAACATTGTAAATAAATATGTCGCGGGCGAGCACCCCAGGACCCGCCCAGCGCAACAATATTATAAAATTTGTTCTCAACTATTTAATGATATCACAGACGAGATATAAGGAATTCTTTTTAATATTTTTAAATAAATGCAAACAATTAAGTCTGTAATAAATTTTGTCCTGGTAAATGTTTATCTGATTATTCTACATTGTGTCTATAATTCCAAGTGAACAATATTGAAATTATTCTCCTTCTTGTGCAACTGTGTCTATGTTCCGTCCGATGCGAAACACAATGGGGCAAAAAATCTGGAAGGTTAGTTTATGACATGAACGTGACAAAAAGATTGTTGCCGTGTTTAATTTTCTCGAACATTTTTTAGAATTTATCTCAATTACCAGCAGTTTCATATTCGCGACAGTAAAGTTTATTTTTCGAGTCATTTCCAGTTTTTGTACAATAAGTCTGAATTTCTGTCAATCTTGTTTGAAGTTACCGCCTTATTTTACTGCTGAAACGTCACGTCACAAATTTTTGATATCGGCGATACTGTACTGATTGTCATTTAAAATTTTTGATTCTGACTTCTATCACTTATAGCGCTGTCATGCGAAATCAGTTTAAGTCGATATGACAGGGCATGATATGAAAATGGTAACGGGGTCCTGGGACTTATGAGAGCGTGTGATCAATTTTACATTGTTTGTTATGCTTGTCCTATACCTCGTCTGTAATGATATGCTTTAACGATAAATTCTTTGTATCAAAGTTATGACTTTTATTTTATTTTTTGTTTGAATATAGACATCTAGATTGTCATGTTCTTAATAGATTGTTGATAAATCATGAACAATCCAAAGTAGGCATTCATGTAACAAATATACATATAAATTACAAGTATGTTAAAAATAGCGAGAACGTTGTAAATTGCCGTGTAACTATCGATATTACATTGAAGATAATGAATGTTTCTTAAATTTTTGTTTTAGTTTAATGATTTCTTGCATATTCTCATCCATTGTTATTACTTGATTATTTCGTTTTGTATGCAAATCAATTGCACAGAACCAATAAATAACGGACAGTCAAAATAGTTTATTAATGACAAGGATTAACAGTATCTTTGCATTTAAGCCTTTTTGCACCAGAAACAAAAATGCCAAGTTGAACTGTTAATAAATGCAAGAAGATAATGGTGCCCTATATGCATGCAGTGCATTGTTGTACAATAAAAAATATGAAACCTAGTTTATACTTTGTTTACAATATGTGGTGATACTGATACTAAGAAAGATGTTGATATTAGATTCACAAGTTTTATTATGTACAAGCAACTGATCTATCATACAAATGTAAATTTGGTGGACTCCCTTGTGGAATCTTTTCTTTAATGTATCGAAAATTTGACTTGTAGGAAATAACAATAATGCCATGGCTAAATGTACTTTTTGGTTCTTCAAATGGTACAGATTTCTTTGTACCAATAACATGTAATGAATGAATAAACATATATAATTAAATAAATTAAAACGTAGTGCAAAATATATGCCTAGCCAAGATGGGTCTTAATAATCACATCGAAGAGATTTTATTTAATTTGATAGTAGTAATAACAACTCCAACTTTAAATGATTTAATGACTTTTAAGATTTATTAAATACGTTAAATCAATTTAGAAATCATATTTTTATTTTTTGCAATAGAATTCTTAATTGGCGATAAATAACGTTCGTAAATAGAAAGCATCATTTATCTTTTGGTAATAAAAAGTCATAATTGAATTTATGACGTACCTAATTGTTACTACTATCTAATTAAACTGTTGAGAGGGTGAAGAGAACTTATAACTGAGAATTCTGTATGAATGCAATTTAACCTACACTGGCATTAAAAGGATTAAAGGGTTACATACCTTTTATAGGGGCAAAAAAGATCGTTTTTCAAAAATTGTATATTCTGCTAGTATAGTTTTTCTAGAATATTCTTTCAAAGTTTTATTTGAAAATTTATAAAACTATCGGATTTATAGCTCCAGAAGTTCGATCGGTTGATGAGGCAATTAATTGTATCTACTCTTACGCACATGTAGGAAAATCACTTGATGATAAAATAATATAACAATAAAAATCATTTGCTTCTGAGATTAAACATGTTCAAATGCTTAAGTGTAACCAACATTTTTTTTATATAACGTCTTAATTTTAATTAAATCAGTGTAGTCTAGTTGAATGTATATTTAAACGTATTACGTTATGCGTTTAGAGCGGACACAATTTTTGTGCATAAAACATATCGTCACAAAAGTTTATAAGAACTATATCGATCTTCAAAATACCTTAAAGATGTGAAAAGAAAGAAAATTCCTTCGAAAAAGACTCACATGGTGAAGCAGGAAAAACTGAATAAGAGTTCAATCGCAAAGGAACTAAGAACTACTCACGGTGTGCCTGCATATGTGCCGGAAGAAAAGACAATTGACTACGAAGTTCTTAACTTATTAACGATTTTCTTAATCTTAAGTGAGCATGTGAAGTGTAAAGAGTGTGCATATCAAATTTAAAGCAGATGAAATTTGAAGACTCATTTAAAGTCGTGATAGTCTATGCAAAGGGTAATCTAGTTTCAATTCCGTATTGCCTGTTTAACGGCTTCACGTATGAAATAAATAGGCGATTTGTTTTCCATTAAAACTGTTGGGCATAAAATTTGTGGTTGGACGAAAAAGGTAGTCGATGTTTTGTTAAACACGCTGCACTGTCTTCGAAGGAAGGACAAATTCCCGGTAAGTCAAGAAAAAAAGATAATCAAGAGGCTTTCATTTTAAAAGAAGAAGAACTCTATGGACCGCAGATCGGTAATACGTTGTAAGTCAATAAAGAAAATAATTAGAATTCTTATTGGCTTTTAGTGGTGATAGGTAGTTGAAACCTTAAATACGTTTTTCTCAAAATTAAGTTTTCAAAATTGGTACCAGAAATGTCTGAGAGACTACTGCACTGATATGAATAAAAGTTAGCAATAATATTCTTAAGATTATTGTATAGTTCTTATTGAAAAGACCCTTTGATTTTTGCATTTTTTCTTTTAATTAACGAAGTTAAAAATTATTTTTTTTTACCTTTTTCGGTTCAAGTGCTTGATATTTAAAAAAAAAACGAAGTTTTTTGAAATAATCTTCGATAAAGTCTAGTTTGTATTATACAATTCAACATAAAATTAAAGTAATTCATTTCAGACAAAATTCCACGAAGATACATCTGGTACCGTAAGCAGTGTTGTAGTGAAATGGCTGTATCATTTTTCTATTTTTAAATATATGACTCAAATTTTTAGCAAAAGTCTATTTAAATAACATCTAATAATTACATTTACATATAGAATTTTTAAAAAAATATTATTTTATATATAAAAAAATGTTGAATTTATCTTATTTTTCTGGTGTTTAAAGGTATGTAACCCTTCACAGGTATGTCTGAAGAATTCCTGATGTTAAAAGCTACTCATCACTTGTCTTCAAAATCTGCGACAGAACAACAAGAGCTTGTCTCTGCTATATACAACCATGTATCCACAATCCACAAATATACCCCATTGCTAGAGTTTTATAATCTAAATTCTCATTACATTAGACCAATAGATTTTTGAAGGCTGCTTTCTGTGCTGCATTCGGACATTCAAAATCTTTCAGCTTTTTCTAATTGGAAAATTTGCTTAACATGGTTTGATGCATGAAGGCCTAGAAATTCCTAACAGTTAAGGGAGGCGTCGAGGATTTCTTGAAAATGTTGATGCAGGAACTCCGAACGTTTATCAGTTACATACATATATAAATTATAAGTCTGTAGTTTAAATTCGTATTATCACCGAGCAATTCGTTTCTCTTATTCGTTACCACCCAGTTCATTTATTATCTTCGTTAGTATTAGCGCTCTTTAGTAAGATTCTATAGATAGTAAAATAATTTAATAATCTGTAAATGATTGACAATTTGATATTCCTCAGGGTTTCAACAAATTTTGCGATCAGCCGCGATAATTGAGATTTAATATTCCTAGATAACATATAATGTTTAAAAAACCCGCTGAATTTTACGAATCCAATTAATTCGAGAAACCAACTAAATTTAGGAGCGCGAAAGCTTTGAAATGCCGAAGATTTATCAAAGCACAGAATATTTGGTGGTTGTAGAATACTTGACTTTACAAATACCTGACGCGTTCCAATTACTTTGTACGCAATCGTTTCATGTTCCCACACGTGTCTATTTAACAGTCGTTTATCAGAAGATGTATGTTCAATGGATGATCATTCGGTGCCGGTTAAATGTATTCTAAGCGCTTTCTCTTTTCGGCGAGTATACGGCTGTTTAAACTTGTTTAAACTTGAAATAAATTTCACGTTAGACACATCTTGAATTGTAACTTCATTGGACTCATCTCGACTCGTCAGTTTTGGCAGAAGATCTCTTCTATACCTGTTATCTCTGATAAAACAAGATAAACCATGAATGTTTATTGTCAGTTCTAATTTCTTTTTTAATATGTTGTACATACCTATACAAAAACAGAGAACCATATTCGATGTCAAATTCAACGTCTGACTCTTGTCTATGCCACATTGATTTCATATGAAGAGTCAAAGGTGTGAACATTAGTGACGTATCATCTTCTAGTTTTGCTATTTCAATGTGTTTCTCAGGTATATTCGTTAATGCAGATAACTAAATAGAAATATAAAATAATTATCACTGGACAATTATAAATTGTGTATGAAGCAGTTAATTACCTTTTTCCTCATTTCCGCTATAGACTTTCCGTCCATGACTATTTCTGCGCACGGTTCATACAATTTATTCACATTTTTAACGCATACTATAATTTGACTACTGTTAGTAACTGGGTCCTTATCAAGTAACTCTTGTATGGCCATCTCAGATTTTCGATACAACATTAAATCTTCAAGTTTTTGATCATCTAAGTATACTTTTGTTGCTAACGTAAGATGCTTTTCCCTCAGGCGACATCTGTCGAACGGTATATCCATATCATGTTTTTCCTTAATATCTGCCAAGATGTCTCTCTTTACGTCGGCAACAGTCATGTCCATGTGAAAGAACCACTCACCCAAAAATTTGAATAGCTGCAGATATATTACACGCAAGAAGGTTAAATAAAATATAAAAACTACCGAAAAAGTCATTTATAAATATATTAATGCAAACACATACGTTATCCATCTGAGGAAGGAACATGTATACTTTTATTCTAAAATCAAAGAAACGTCCAACCTTGACCTTAAGGTACTCGTCTTCATTATAGAAAAGTAAATGTTTTTGTATTTGAAAATACATGAATTCTCCTAAATCCTCGTTCCTATAGAAAATTTTAAAGTACTCCGACGGTACACCGATATATGGCTCCAGTTTTTTAATAAACGTTCTGTACTTCATCTTCTTATCTGCTTCTACTTTTAGAACTATAATAAAAAAAGCATTATCAAACGCATTATCTTGTCTATATCTTAAATATTAAAACGTAACAAAGCATAGTATAGTTTTTACAACTGATGTAAACGATTATCAAATGATTTCAATCCTTCATAGACTTCGTTATAATTATCGTCAAAATATGTAGCGGAAACTCGCTATCTTTACCATTAATAAAGTTTAAAAACAGTAACTACAACATTAATTGTAATGAAAATGATTTTGTCTTAGAGCGAGTCGACATCTC